AGTTTGGGAACAGTGTTAGAGGTCTGCTATGGGGGGACAATAAATTGACGCGGGTGCAAATACTGTGGGAAGTTTTCCTCCAAGTTCTGTATCAACACAGGGTGTTATTACTACGTCACTGGCCAACAGAGAGGGGAACCCAAAGGCCCACGGCCAGTGCCCAGCCCAGGACATCAACAACTTGGGGTTATCAGGGACACTGCCTTCCTCTCTCTGCCCTCCAGGGACTCCTTCCTGGAGGGCTTGCCTTGGACCCAGCCCCAGCCCAGGCTCCCAGCAGCTGAGGATGGGAAGGAAATCACCTTAATATCCACTTCAACCTCTTCCTGGACTGACTTTTCGTCACTCGTATCCACATCCCCAAAGGTGAGCGTCCCGTTGCGGCCAATTTTCACCTGCTTCTTGTAGGTGTAGTAGAACTCCACACACTGGGCCACAGTCTTCGTCTGGATCTGGTTGGAAACGAAAATGAGGTCAGAGTTCCAGGTTCAGCTCACCTGCCTGGGGATACGCCAGCCTCCCTCACGTCTCCCCTTAAACTTAGCAAACACTAAACTCAATCAATCCCCCAAATATAAGCATCTCTCTAACACCTGCTCTGACAAACCACTGACCAATTCAACTAACCCAGGCTTCAGCACTACTTTTCTAAAAAGCTAAAAAGTACACCATGAATAAAGTACCTTGGAAATAAAATAAAATTAAAAAAAGTACACCATGGAGCCACTGGGGAGACTTGAATATGGATTGCATATTAGAGCGTGTTACTTATCAGTTTAATTTTCTTTGATGATAATGCTACTGTGGTTTTACAGGAGAATGTCCTGGTTTTTAGACAATATTTGGGTCGAGTGTCATGATGGCTGTAACTTACTTTTAATTATTAATTAAAACAGAGAGAGAGAATAGGTGCATGTTTAAGTTTATATACAGACAGAAAGAAAGCAAATGTAGCCAATGTTAACAACTGGTATATCTAAGTGAGGGGTATATAGGTGTTCATTATACTATTCTTTCAATTTTCCTGTAAGTTCGAACTTTTTCAAAATAAAAAGTTAAAGGGAAAAAAGTCTGGTCCTGGCACGTGTGGCTCAGTTGGTCGGAGCGTCATTCCGTACACCAAAAGGTGGCAGGTTCGATTCCCGGTCAGGGCACATGCCCAGGTTGCAGGTTCAATCCCTGTTTGGGTCGTGTGCAGGAGACAGCCGATCAATGTATCTCTCTCATCTCTCATCTCTCTCTCTCTCTCTCTCTCTCTCTCTCTCTCTCTCTCTCTCTCTCTCCCCCCCTCTTCCTTTCTCTAAGATTAAAAAAAAAAAAAAAGATTCTTTAAAGAAAAATGTCTGGGCACCCTCCACATTCAAAGCCAGGACAGACCTTGCAACACAGACTCTCTTCATCAGTGTGGACAAACAATTCCATTCCTCTCCAGGGGCAGCGATGGACAAGCGAGGACAGAGGACTGTCATATTATCAAGGGAGGCTAATAAGCCCTGGAAAGCCCGAAAAGGAAGCAGGATGCCCAGATCTTGTTCCTAACTCTGCCACTGAGTAGCTGTGTGGCCTTGGACAAGTCTCTTCATGTGTAAACAGTGAGTGGGGTGAGACCAGATGATCTCTAAGGGCCTCCCACGGTCTGAAGTCCTAGCCCTCCCTTTTCACAAATCTATTTGGCCACTGGATTTAGTTTCTGGGCTACTCTCCTACACACAGAAGACACAGGCTGTTTTCTCTGACTCTTCTCACTCCCCCAGGCTCGCAGACTACTCAGCCAACTTCTGGGCAGCACTGAGGTCCTCTGCACAGAGCCCAAGGAGGCAGTGAGGATCCTCTGGGCCTGAGGAGAAACAGACATGCTCCATCTCCCAGGAATGGCCAAATCGCAACTTTATTAATTAGATCCGTTTGCACGTTTACTGCCAATTCTCTCTGATCATCTGTTTGGCTACTGGTCTGTTCTTTTCATTAAGGCATTAGGGGCTCCTGGAAATATTGCCCAATCAGGAACCCAGCAGATGTCTGTCCTCACAACAGGGCCCTTGTAGGAGAATTCATCAGCACTCTGCCCAGTCCCCAGAGCCATCCTTGGCACCATCTACCATCCCAAGAGGAAAGAGCACGCTCTTGGAAGCCCTTTTCCCTCAGTGGGCCACACGACTCACTCTCCCACAGCCCAGATTTTGCCAGACGGGGTTGGTGGGAAGCTGCACGTCTGCAAATTAGCAAAGTACTTTAGTCCCCCAGAAGAACATAGGGAGAGGACAAGATAAATCTAGGACAACTAGGCTCCGGCCTCCACTACCTGGTCAGCCGAGTTACTGGAAAGAAGCCCTGGGTCTGACAAGACGTAGGCAGAGGCCCCACCCAGTTCAGTTACACAGTCACTTGTTGCTCTCAGTTCCCCTTATCGTAGGGTGACCTCTCCTCCCACAGACTAACTGTGGCCTTCGAGTGCTCCAGGCCCCTGGGGAAGGGCTCAGCTCGGCCTGCAACCCTCCTTCTCTTCTAGCTCTCCCTTGGGTAAGCGACTATTTTAAGTTGTTGTGGGGTTTTGTTTGTTTGTTTTTGTTAATCCTCACCTGAGGATATTTTTCCATTGATTTTTAGAGAGAGTGGAAGGAAGAGGGAGAGACAGAGAGAAACATTGGTGTGAGAAAGACACATCAATTGGTTGCCTCCTGCACACACCCCAACCAGAGCTGAGGAACCTGCAACTAAGGGTCCTGTCTTTGACCAAAATCAAACCCAGGACCCTGCAGTCCACAGGCCGACACTCTATCCACTGAGCCAAACCGGCTAGGTTTTGTTTTTTTAAAATACTGACCACCTCCTGCACACCCCCCACTGAGGATTGAGTCCACAACTTGGGCATGTGCTCTGACTGGGAATCAAATCAAGACCTCCTGGTTCATAGGTCGACACTCAACCACTCAGCCATGCCAGCCGGGCACCACTATTTCAAGTTCAATGCCACTGAGTCTGATACCCATTCAGGCTTCTCTCTGGATTAAGACCCCAGGGTGTGGCCACACTATCCTAAGGTGAGGGAAGGGGGCTTAGAATTAAGGGCCGGGGGGAGTCCTTATTTTTCCCCCCCTGCTTGTTTTGTTTACAAAATTCTCTGAGGCTACTCAGTGCATTGAATTAAGTGCTTTTGAAGAGGGCTTGGTAAGCGACTGTAGGCCCCCACTGGTAGGGGGACCCCAAATCCTACAGGCAGCTCCTGCCCTCACCTGCCCCTTAAACAGAGCTCCAACTCACCAGCTTCTGCACCAGGAAGAAATCCTTCTTGTAGATGGCAATGCCCTTGTTGAACAGCTTCCTCTCAGACATCTTCCACTGGTCAGAGCCTGCGGGGCAAACAGGAAGCCGGGTAGTGAGGTGGGGTGGGACTGTGAGCATCACGGGGGGGGGGGTGGGGGGGAAGGGGCGGAGGGGGGGGCGATTCTGACCAGCTGACAAGTCAGAGCTGGCTCCACAAACTGCTTCTGCCACTTACTAGCCCCGTCACTTGGCCCTGAACCTCATTCCCCTCACTTGTGAAGCGGGAACTAATAATAGAAGCCGCCTCCCCAGTTGTGCAGACTGAATGAGATCATGCATGCGAAACCCTTGGTGCCCAGCCTGGCACAGACGACATGGACCACTCCACAGGGATCGGTAACAGTAGCTGCTATGATGATGCCCAGTGGTCCATGTCCCTCTTAAAGCACAGGGTCCAGAACGGGACATGGCACTCAGGGGTTGGCTAAGTTCCAGGTACCTGATGCCAGTTTGGATGGCAGTCCCCGGATCCCTGTCCCTTGTACTGTGTCCTGGGTTTCCTGGCCTGGACGGGCTCCCACCTGCCCACGCCCTCCTGTCTTCCTCTCCAGGGCACAGTTAGCCCCTTGAGAGCCACCCCAGCTTTGGAGTCAGTGCTTTGGCTCTTGGCTTACCCACCCCCCATCTCCCCCACCCAGGGCTGTGACTCAGCACTAACTGGGCCCCACTGATGGGAGACCCTTTGAGGCTCCAGGCTCGACCCACCCCCACCAGGCCCACCTGTGTAGTGATAAGTTGCCAGTGGGTGGTTGTGGGGCCTCAGGGGCTTCTTCAGTAGCAGCTTATTCAGCGTTTCCTTCAAGGGGAGTGAAGAAAAGTCAGGGCCCTGGCAGGGTTTCAGTGGGCAAAACTTAGAGGGCCTCCTCACGCAATCACAGCTGCGGAAGGCCCTCAGTGCCGCTCTGTCGGAGGCGGGGACCCAGTGACCCAGAATCGGGGGCTGGGGTGGATGGCACGACCCTGTGCTGCGAAGTTTAGAACTAGGGTTTCCTTGGGCTGAGCCCCTCCAACCCCCAACTTGGTTGGACCCTCCAGCCTGTTTCAAATCGGCATGTGAGCAGGCCTGGCTCCTGGGCAGCAGAGATGGATCCAGGCCAGCCTCCCTGAGGGCCCTTCCCTCCACTGGGGGCGGTGTCTCACCAGGATGTCTCCCCTGGACTCGTGCAGGCAGTGCAGGGCCAGCTCCTGGTTGGTGCCAGCTCCAGGGAAAATGCTGGAGCAGGCAGCTGTCAGCAGGTCTTCCACTGCATTGTGGGAGCGAGGGAGGGAGGGAGGGAGCATGGGGAGGGAGGAGAGGAAATCACTTTCAGGGCAGGCTGGGCTGGGCGGGGTTACGACCAGCCCACCCACCTACCCAAGACCATCTTGGCTTGCTGGTTCAAGTCCCCTCTCACCTTGCCTCTGCTTCTCCCGGCTGCTCTCTAGGTCCTCCCATGGCTGCCACACCAAGTCGGCCTTGTGGGGGTCTGCAGCTGCCAGGGCACGGTCCCTCATGGAGGGGATTTCAGCTTGGAACCGGGAGCCTACATTGATCCGTCTGCAGGGGTGGGAAGGGCAGGAAGTGAGGCCTCATTTTGCTGGGGGGGGGGGGCAGGCGGCAGAATCTGACTTTCTCCCTGGGGGATGGGAGAAGATGCAGAGGGCAGCTGACAGAGGCTGAGCATGGCAAGGCCTCAGCTGGGTCTAAGGCAGCGGTTCTCAACCTGTGGGTCGCGTCCCCTTTGGGGGTCGAAAGACCCTTTCACAGGGGTCGCCTAAATACATCCTGCATATCAGATATTTACATTACGATTCATAACAGTAGCAACATTACAGTTGTGAAGTAGCAACGAAAATAATTTTATGGTTGGGGGTCACCACAACATGAGGAACTGTATTAAAGGGTCGCGGCATTAGGAAGGTTGAGAACCACTGGTCTAAGGGAACCTGGCTTCTGGGAGGACACCTGGCAAATGGCACCAAGTGCTGCCAGAAAGGCAAGGCCCCGGTGCTGGGAAGGGAGAAGGAGCTCCCGGTTTACAGGCGGGGAAGGAGTCTCTCCGACTACCCTTCTAATTCTCAGAGGCAAATGCAAACCAGACCGGCCCCTTCCTTTTCCTGCGACTTCCACCCAGAAGCAGGGCGAGGAAAAGAAAGCCCAGAGCGGCCGCCCAGCCCTCTGCCGGCCCTGCAGAGCCCTCTTCTCCTCCAAGGGCCGGCCTGGATGCCTGCACCCCACTGGCCACCCTCACACCACGGGCCAGAGGCAGGGCTGCACTTACGGCTCGATGCTCACTGGGGTGGCTTCCCCCATCACAGAGAGGACAGGTGGGGTGACTTCAGCACTATCTAGGGGACAAAAGGCAGGTTGGTAGACCGTCCTCTCCTCCCTTCAGCAAAGCCCTCCCCGCCCAGCCCTGGGTGGCTGCTCCCAGCATTAAAACCACAGTGGTGACTCACAGAGGTTCACATCTGGAAATCAGGCATCCCCAGTCTCGGCTCCCAGCCTGCCATGGTGACAACTGACTGCAACTTTACTAACTATGTGGGTGCCTCCATTTTCCACACCCACTGAAAGGGGCTCCTACAGTTAATAATGTGAGGAGTGAATGAAATCATGCACAAAACCTAGCCCTGGGAGCTCCCCCACGCCAGGTTAACTCCAACAAGAAACTGTGGTTGTACTAATAAGGCGGCCGAAACTTTTCTGCACCCTAGTGAGGTGGGGAAGGAGATCGCTGTTGCATAATTGTGTTCTCACTTCCTTGCTGGGTTCTCTGCCTCGGTTTCTCCTGAGCTAATCTCCTAATGCCTCACATGATCAAGAGACACTCCCTTGCTGCAAAAACAGAATCTTTGCTGACTCCTCTCTGCAACGTGAGATAAAACCTGCACTCCTCAGCAGTCCCCTTCCACCTCGGCCTCCCACCGCCCTCCCGCCTGGACCCTGGGTCCTAGCAGACTGGTTACACGTGGGCCCTCACTTTCCCTGCACAGTCTTACCTCCATGTCTTTGTCACACTCCTTTCCTCTGCCTAGAGTGTCTTCCCCGCCCCTTCACGGTTCAAGCTCAGCTCTAGCCCCACCCTCTCGCGAATGCTTTCCTCCCTACCCCAGGCTAGCAGCCTCTGCAGGTTTTGGAGCTTAGGGTCTGCTTCACTCACTGCCTGCTGATCCCACACCGCAAGGAACCTCTGCTTTTCTGTCTCCCAGGCCTCCATGTCAACTCTCTAATGACCCCGTATTTTCCTTAGAACAGACCATGGTGTCCCCCTATATCATTGGAGCCCTCAGAGGATCCGATTCGAGGCTTTACACCCAAGTTCTTGGTAAATATTCATGCACGGACAGACCTTTTCTTTGCTACTAATCTGGTCTCTACAGTGACTTCTTCCTGCACAACCCAGGCAGGGAGAGCAGCTTTGAATCTTGGCGTGGAAGTGTGAGGGCAGAAGGCCGGCCAGCCAGCCCAGGTGAGCCGTTTCTCACTCGCAGACAGCAGGGGGCACCAGAGAGCTAAGCCATGGGTGAGGTCAGGATCAGAGGTTAATCTGGTGATGGCACCGCCTCACCCCTGTGCCATGTCTGGTAGTATTTACTCCCACTGAATCCTCTCCCCACCCTAGGAGATAGCATTATCACATTCTTCTGGGAAATGGATCTTTTTGTAGAGCGGGCAACATTTTTCAACAATTCAAACCCATGCGAGCCAAAATGTCTGCTCTTGGCCAGAATGACCGAGGAGAAAGGATCTGCCACGTAATATTAAGAACCAACATGACGCGTCAGGCATGAAATTACGTGCTGTGCATATGGTAATGCATCTGAACCTCACCACATCCTTCTGAGGTAGCTAAGCTATTAGGTTGAACCATAGGAAACTACTATATATGGACCTAAAAATAGTTGAATATTGGCAATTTCATCATCAACCAAACACTACAATGATATTCTCATCTAAACACTGAAGAAGCTGATGCCCAGGGAGTGTTAACGACTCGCACAGGGGATGTAACAGTAAATGGTGCAACTGGGATTCGAACCCAGGCCGCTGGGCTGACACCCCTCCTCCACCCACATGTATTCTTGAACCAGGACAACTTCCTGCTCTTTCTCAGAGATGAGAGAGTGGAGCTCCTTTTCTCACAGCATTCCAACCCAATCCCTAGCAGCCCCATAAAATGAGTCTCATCCCTGCCCACTGCCCTCCCTCTCCACACGGCCCCTGAGGCAAGGGTTACTCACTAGACCGGAGCAGGGTGCGGTGGGCACTCTTTGGTGTGATGGGAGGAGGGGCCGGGATGCTGCTCGTTGACATGATGGCATTGAAATAGAGGCCGGAGCCTTCCCGCACGGGGCTGAGGATGGGAGGTGGTGTATAGGGGGGCAGCTCAAAGCTCCGCTCAGAGGGGTGGTCAGCCAGGCGGACAGGAGAGCGCAGGTGGCTCTGGTACGGGGTGATGTTGGAGTAGACCGGAGGGGCGATGAAAGTGCCCGCCTTGGTGGGGATGATCAGGGGCTCAGGCCTCGGCCGCTGCTTTGGTTTCCGCACCGAAGGCTCCCCCTCCAACTTGACGTTCATGTCTTCAGCCTGGAGAAGGAAACAGAAGCAAGACGGCTCAGCCTCCTACGTCCCGGGATGCTGAAGTCTTGACCACTGCTTGCTGGTCTCACCTTTGAAACTTAGTCTGCCCACCGCACCCATCAAGGCAAGCCTGAGACAGGTGGCAGGTTCCAGCAAACTATTTCTGTCAAGGGCCAAACAGTCCATTTAGGGTTTGCGGAACACATGTCGTCTCTGTTATAAATTCTTCTTCTCCCCAGTCCCCACACCCCCATTTTCAAAAATAATCCTTTAAAGGTATTAAAACCATTTTTACGTCTGAATTTGGGCCACAGCCCATAGTTCCTGCTGTAAAGTATGCTATAGGGCAGGCCCTGGAGCTGGATTGCTTGGATTGAGATCCACCTCCCTTACCTACCACTTAGAGTAAATCACTTAACTCTCTGTGTATCATCCTTTTTAACATGGGTATAAGTGCCTACTTAATGGGGTATCTATGAGGACTAAATGAATTAATATTGAAAATCACTGAGGACAGTACCTGGCACATAGTAATTACTCAATACATATTGGCTGCTATCACTACGTAAACTCTAGGCATTAATGGAACCACCCCCCGCCCGCTTATGACAAGACCTGAGCTGGGCATGGGGCCCATGTCTAACAAAATTAACAGGAGAGTCCTTCCTTGAAGAACTTTTTTTTCCCTATTGATTTTTTTGAGAGAGACAGTGGAAGGGAGGGAGGGACGAGGAAGGAGAGAAACATCGATGTGAGAGAGATACATCGATTGGTTGCTTCCCACACACACCCTGACCAGGGCCAGGGATCGAACCTGCAACCCAGGTACATGCCCTTGACCGGGAATCGAATGCGTGATGTACTTCAGATACAAACCGAAGTATTTATAGTTGCAACAATATGATGTTGGGGATTTGCCTCTAAATATCCAGTGGCAGGGAGAAGTGGAGGTACAAATGAAAAAAGATCGACTATATTCTGATGGCTAAATATTGGGGTCGATTATAGCATTCTCCATATTTCTGTGCAAGATTGAAAAAGTCTGTACTACAAAGAAAAAAATAACTAAATAACTAAATTTAAAGCTCCCCCCAAAACCCTGGTGTAGGGAAAGTACTCCTGGACAGAGTTTCAGGCGATTCAAATTCCAGGGCTAGTTCTGGCATCACTTGACGGAATGACCCTGGGTAGCCTCTTGCCTTTTCTAGATCTATTTCCTCATCACTGAAATGAGTGTGTTGAGCTGTGCAGTTGCTCAGGCTCCTTTCTGCCCATCCTCAGGACAAGCTTCCCAGGCCTCCGGCTCCACCACAAAATTTTCCACCAACCAGAGAATGAGACTCCAGAGAGGAGAGACTGCTGCTCATGTTAATCTTGGAGCTCCCCTTTCTGTTACGGAGGGCAGGCATTTAGGCCAATTTTCCAGCTGAGAATAACGAAAAAAATCTGGACTCAATATAAAAACCACATTTCTGAAGGTATCAGAGACCAAATAAGTTGGCAAAGAATTAAAAAGCCAAGATCCAGGAAAAGAAGGAAAGTCAAAGAGGTGAACCAGCATTTGGAGTTGCGTTTTCCCTAGAGTGGATGCTGTGACTGGAAGAGGCAACTGAGAGGCTGAGAAACTGAGTAGAAGTTTTGAAATAAATTCAAGGAGGCAGCAGAATGAAACTGGGAGTTTAGGGCTTGTCCAGGAAGCAGAGCCTGGTCAAATCCCTGCCTGTGGATTGGAACTCCAAAGGGCTATCTCCTCAGAATAGAGGCGAATCAGAAGTAGACGAGTCCTCACCTGGAATAAGGCCCAGCTTCAAATCATCTCATCTCTATTGCCACTTAATCTCTGGTTAAATTAAAGGAACCCAGGGTAGCTGGTGCTATTTGCTACCTGTCAGATGCAAAGATAAATTCTCTCTGGAAGAGGAGAACTTCATCCAGAGCCTTCAACTACCTCCATAAGTCTTTGTATATCATATCTGACATTCAACAAAAACAACCGAATATACAAGAAAGCGAGATGTGATTTAAACACAACAAGTAACAGATAATAGAAACAGACCCATGGGGATCCCATTAATGGAGTTGTCAGAAATAAGCTTTAAGAAAACTATACAATAAGATAGAAGGCAAAGTTGAGAATTCCAACAAAGAACTAGAAACTCTAAAAATTAGCCAAATGGAAATTTGGTAACTGAAAAACTACTAAAATATAACTCAATGAACGGGCTTAACAACACATTAAACCCAGCTAAATAGAATTGGTAAACTGAAAGACAGGTCAGACTCAAAAAAGAAAAATATAGAAAAGTACATGACAGACAAAATAGGGGACATGGTGAAAAGCTCAAACAAATGTGTAACCAGAGTTCTAGAAGTAGGAGAGAGAAAATGGGGCAGAAGAAATATTCAAGAAGCACTACAAACTCTAACCAGGAGAATCACAAAGAAAACCACATTTAGGTGTAACAGCAAAACTGCTGAAAATGAAAGACAAAAAAAAAAATCTTAAAAAACACACAAAATAAAAAGACACCTCACATTCAAAGGAGCAACAATATGGCTTATAGTGATTTTTCAACACTGTAACTACAGTGTAAGCCTGAAGACAATACAAATGATATCTTTATCTTTTTTTAAATGTGTTTTTATTTTTAGCCTAAAAGTGGTTCTCAACCTTCCTAATGCCACGACCCTTTAATACAGTTCCTCATGTTGTGGTGACCCCCAACCATAAAATTATTTTCGTTGCTACTTTATAACTGTAATTTTGCTACTGTTATGAATCGTAATGTAAATATCTGATATGCTATATGTGTTTTCCGATGGTCGCGACCCACAGGTTGAGAACCTCTGCTTTAGAGAGAGAGGACAGGAGAGGGAGAGAGAGAGTGAAACATGGACATGAGAGAGAAACATGAATTGGCTGTTTCCCACACACACCCGAAACCTGGGCATGTGCCCTGACCAGCAATCAGACTGGCAACCTTTCAGTGTATAGGACAACACTCGACCAACTGAGCCACACTGGCCAGGGCTAGAATGCTTTCTTTAAATTTGCCAAAAGAAAATAACTACCAACACAGAATTTTCTACCTAGCAAAATTATTTTTCAAAAATGAAGATGAAATAAAACATATTCAGACAATCAAAGAGTAATAAAATTCATCACTGACTGACTCACACTACAGGAAATGCTAAGGATGTTCTCCAAGCAGCACCTCAATAACCTAAGTGATATGAGAAGAAATAAAAAGCAGAAGGATACAGAAAGGCATAAAGTAAAAAGACAGAAGAGCCCTAGCCGGTTTGGCTCAGTGAATAGAACGCAGGCCTGCGGACTGAAGGTCCCCAGGTTCAATTCTGGTTAAGGGCATGTACCTTGGTTGCAGGCTCCTCCCCAGCCCAGGCCCTGGTCAGGGCTCATGCAGGAGGCAACCAATCGATGTGTTTCTCTCACATCGATGTTTCTCTCTGTCTTTCCCTCTTCCACTCTCTCTAAAAATCAATGGAAAAAGAGGATTAAAAAAAAAAGAAGAAGAGATACACATCCCCCCAAAAAAAGCTAAATATTTGACAAAGTGGACTTTAAAAGGCGAAAACATTACTGAAGATAAAAAGAAACATTTCATAGTGAAAAGTGTCTAATCCAGTTCTAAATGAATATGCAACTAACAACATCAATTAAAATGTATGAAATAGCCCATGACTCAGTGGTTGAGCATCGACCTATGAACCAGGAGGTTGAGGTTCGATTCACGTCAGGACACATGCCCAGGTTGCGGGCTCCACCCCTAGTATGGGGCTTGCAGGAGACAGCCCATCAATGATTCTCTCTCATCATTGATGTTTCTATCTCTCTCTCCCTCTCCCTTCCTCTCTGAAATAAAAATGTTTTTTAAAAAAGTATAAAACAGCCCTAACCGGTTTGGCTCAGTGGATAGAGCGTCGGCCTGCGGACTGAAGGGTCCCAGGTCGGCCTGCGGACTGAAGGGTCCCATGTACCTTGGTTGCGGGCACATCCCCAGTAGGGGGTGTGCAGGAGGCAGCTGATGGATGTTTCTCTCTCATCGATGTTTCTAACTCTCTATCGCTCTCCCTTCCTCTCTGTAAAACATCAATTAAAAAGAAAAGTATAAAACAACACCATCAGAACTAAAAGAAGAAATGGACAAAACCTCAATTTTAGTAGGAGATTTCAACAATGAAATTTTTGAAATGTTTGCACCAACAGAAGAAGCAAACATTTACATCCCAGTGCCTAGCACAAGGCCTGACCCATATTATAGGCCCTATCAAAATCTGGTGACCTGAAATGGAAGACATTCACACATACTACATTCTCCCAGACAGTCCCAATTTCAAGTATAAAACGGTCTCATTGTCCCCCATAGTGCATTTGTCCAGTCTGGTTTGGAAAACAGAAATAGCTATCACCATGGGTTGCTTGAACTGCTCCTTCAGTCACACTGTCCTTTCCCCAGAGGGTCCCAGGTCCCAGGAGCACTCGGGTACTGGAGGTTTTTGCAGGGGGAGCCTCTCCTACCTGAGCCGGGGCATCAGTCCCGGGGACACGGGTGGACCGCCTGCGGGTGACGATGACCGACGGCTTGTGTTCGGCGGGGTTGTGTTCAGGACCCTTCCCATCCTCGTCAGCACCTCCAGCCTGGGCCGCTTCCGACGGGTCCACAGTCCGCACAGGCACAGACACTGGGATAATGAGGGGCAGCATCCCGCTGTCCTCGCGCGCTCGCTTGGCGGCTAAGGAAGGCTCCGAAAACTCCACCCCGCACTTGGTAGTTGAAGCCAACACACTTTTCCGCTTCTCCTCAGAGCCGTTGGCATCCTGGAGAAGGGAAGGGAGGGAGAACGGAGGTGAGGTTCAGAAGGTAAGTCCGATGTGCTGATCTAGGATCCCTCGTCCCATTCGATTCAGGGATTCGAACACCTATGATGGTTCCCAGTGGTCTTTGATCACCTGGCCTTTTACCCTGACCACCTTTTCTCCCACCACATTCCCAAATATCCTCTATCACCTCCTTTCTGCCAGGTTCCCCCATCCTAGCCTGTGGTAGGTCCCCGGATGGCCATCTCAGGCCACAGGTGCCTGACAGATGTACTTTGCTTGGCCTGCACAGTGAGTGAGTGGCATATAAAAAATTATCTAAATATTTATTTATTTATTTATTTATTTATTTATTTATTTAAAAATATATTTTATTGATTTTTTACAGAGAGGAAGGGAGAGAGATGGAGAGTTAGAAACATCGATCAGCTGCCTCCTGCACATCCCCCACCGGGGATGTGCCCGCAACCCAGGTACATGCCCTTGACCGGAATCGAACCCGGGACCTTTCAGTCCGCAGGCCGACGCTCTATCCACTGAGCCAAACCGGTTTCGGCAAAAAATTATCTAAATATTTAAAACATATCTCTGTAAAAGCAAGCAAGCAGAGAACTTGTGGCAGGTAAGGGCGGTCTTTGTATATCTATTTTCCCAGTGGCAGCTGGCTGGAGTGAAGTCAGATTCTACAGCCTTCTACAGATCAGCCTGGCCCTGCAGGCATCGGGGGTTGAGACCTCAAGTAGAGGAAGGGGCCAACACTGGCTTTGGAGTCAGATATTAGGCCTCTATGCTAGCTTTATGACCTTGGGAAATCCCACTTGGGATTCTTTAGCAATAAAATAGGATAAATGACAGCATCCCTATCAAATTATTTGTGACCAAGTGTAAGAAACTCCAAGTACAATATGGATGCTCACACTCTGTTCATTCTTCTCCCCCACTGTCACTGCCTTTTCTGTTAAATTGACTTTATTGCAGTATAATTGACACAATAAAAGGCACCTATTTTTAATTACAGTTCGATGCATTTTGACAAGTAAAATCACCTGTATAATGACTACTACGTTCTTGTCTTTTAGCTGCTAACGTTTAGCACACTGGGTCTGGAAATGCAGGTACATGCACTTCCTGCCTGCAACCCTGCACCTGTATAAACCTCATCTCCCTTCAGGTTACGGAGGCACCGAGGTAGAGATTCTTTGCATGCAGGGAGTTCAGAATTCCCTGAAATGTACAGGTTCCTTCATTTCCTTTAATGAAGTGAGACAAGTGCCCTCGAGGGCCTGGAGTCCTTGCTCTCCCCACACACAGCTCACCCCACACCCTCTGCCAGGTTCGGCTCCCACCCCATGCCACTCTTACCTTTGTGTTCTGCAGTGAGGCCAGCTCCACTGCCTTCTGGGCCAGGGTCAGCAAATTGGCCTCTTGGGACGCCCGGCGCCTCCTTCTCGTGCTCTGGATCACCCCACCCCGTAGCACCTGCCCGCAGTCCCCTGCGCCCACTGCCCGCATGCCCTCCTCGCTGCCCATGATGGGAGCCTCTCGCTCCCGACCATTGGGTGCCAGTCTCTCCCCGTCAGACAGCAACTGCGACTCCCTCAGCTCCAGCGGGAATCCCAGAGCTTCCGGATGAGGCTGTCCCAGGGGGCCGGGTGGCGGCTGCTGCGGGGGCCAGTGATGTAGAAACAGGTTGGTGGCAGGCTCCTGCCCAGGCTGGGTACCAGCCCCATCCAGGGCGGTGGAAGGCAGGACGCCCTCCTTGGAGAGGCGTCGGGAGCGGCGGGGGAAGGCGATCTGGGCCTGAGGTAGCACGGACTGCGGGGCTGACTCCTGCAGGAGGGCCTTGCGCAGTTCGGGGTTCATATCAGGGTTGTGGGGGAAGGGGTAGGGCACCATGCCGTGGTGAGTCAGGTGGGACTGCCCCAGTGGCCCGGCCGGCTGCAGGCCAAAGTCCTGGGGCTGCTGAGAGGGCGGCTGCTGCATGGGATAGAAGTTCTCAAAGAGCTGCATCTGGGGCAGGGCCGCCTGCTGCTGCTGCTGCTGCTGCTGCTTCTGGAGCGGGTAGGCGGCGACCGGGTTGGGGGGCGGGGGGCCCTGCCGGAAGACCTGCCGGTTCACCTGGTGGCCGAACGCCAGCTGGAAAGGTTGCAGGGGCAGCGTTTGGTTTGGGGGCTTTTTGGCCACATGGAACGAGTTCAAGGGCGCTTGGGGCCGCCCCACCTCCTGCTGTACCTTCTGTGGCATCATGGGTCGCACGCTGTTTCCGTAGCGGTCCAGCTGCGGGCCCCCTCCCTTCTCCCGCTTCAGTGCCTCGGGGTGGTTATAGTAGGCGGCGACCATGCCGGGATGGGGGCTCCCTTTGGGTCCACTGTAGACGGGCAGGCTGTGGCAGTTCCACGTGGAGTGGGGCGGAGGCTGGCCCGGCTGCTGCTGCCAGCCACTGTCGCTGACACCCCCGCCCCCGCCCCGCTCCGGGCCCCTCCCTGGAGCCATCACAGAGTTGGGCCACTTGACGGAGCCCGAGCCCATCTGCTGGGACAGCATGGCGGCGGAGGTCCGCTCAGGCCCATACACCACGGAGTTCAGCAGGGCCAGGCTGTTGGAGAGCTCCACCGGCTGGGAGGCAGGGGCAGCCCCTGTGGGACCCTCGTGCCCGAAGTAAGGCTCCTCCTTCACTCGGGTGGACTGTGGAGGGGCCGGGGGCTGTGGTGGGGCCTGCAGGGGTGGGGGCTGCTCCTTGGCAGCTGCTTCCTGGTCCCCAAAGAGGCAACGCTTCCGCTTGTTCTGACCCCTGGGCTGGGCCTGGAGGTTCATGGTGTGGCCAACTGGGCCGGCCCGGGGGGATGAGACCTAACTTTACCAGTTGCCCATCCCCTAGGGGAAGGTCCTGCTGGGAGCCCCCTGGTCCGGGAGCCGTGGGAGCTGAACAGGGGCAGGAAGAAGTGCTGGGTGATGTGGTCAGGCACCGGGAGAAAGGACTGATGGCGGTTCCTCTCTCTTCACGGAGACACTCGTGAGCTTGTCTACGCTTCCCAGTTCATGATGCTCCGCGGGGTCCTGGAGCCTGCAGACAGAAGCAGAGCAACAGTGTCAGCCACAGCCTCCCACAATGCCCCAGACGTCAGCACAAGGACCACGGAGGGGCCTCTAAGGCCCTGCTGCATGTGGTGTAATGTGTGAACTGCACAAAGGCATCTGCCACGGGGGGATGGGGGCTGTGATCCAGCCGAGCTCCTGCGGTCAAGCTGGGAAAAGGGGCGACGAAGGCCCTGTTCCGGTTCCTTCCCCTCTTCAGCCAGGCCTCAGTCCACTGGGCAGCCCGGCCTGGTCCTCTCCCACCTGTCCAGGCAGTGACCTCCCCACCAGAGCCAGAAGGAGCATTTGTTCAGCCAATGCCTCCTCTGACGCTCCAAGCACATCTCAGACACAGAAAGTGGAGAGAACAGGGGTCATTCCCAACTGTGCCGTCCCAGAGTCAGGCGCCCACTGGGTCCTTGCAGAGTCCAAGCCTCAAGACTAGGCTCAGGTGAGGCCCCACAAGGGTGTGTGCTGTCCTAGCCCCACCCCTGGGAGGAGCTGCTGGGTGGGAGGGTGGCTGCCAGAGTCTTCCCCAAACTAGCACAGGAACCTGTTCTGCAGCCCTGGCAGGCTGGAGGCGGGATGCCACCTAGCAGCTGGTCAGCAGTGCTCACCCACCCTCCTCCACTGCCAAAGAGCAAAGGTATGATGCTGAGGGAGCAGACTGCTAGACCTCGAGTCCGGAAGGCCTCTCTATGACACGGTGTGACTCAAGTGCTTCTGTTTGTCTTCTAATTTGATTTTAAAAAAGAGAGAAAAAAGAACCAGGTTGCTCTATTTATCCTGCTACAGAACATACAATCAAGACCAGCATAACTTACATGTATAACTTGCATGTATTTTCAAAGACTTTCTTCAGAAATGGTTATATTTTCCTCCCTGAGGGAAGTTGGTAAGGGTGGGAGCTGCATGACTCACTTCTTCCCCAGGTTAATTAATGTTCTGGTCCTGAGCCAGTAGGGCTGGGAGGGGAGGAGAGGGGGGCTAGGGAAGCCCTAGGAATGCATCTGCAAGCCCAGGCTGACCTCAGCCCTCGCCCCTAGACGCTGCAGGTCTCTGTTAGCAGCCCAGGAGTTCCCAGGAGACCAGCAGAGAGCAGAGGAGGGCTGGGGCTGGGCGGAACCCGGCAGGCGCTGGTATGAAGCCCCGGCTACACCCCAAGATGCCCCGGCCCCAGGGAGGCCGGGTGCTATCACTCCAGTGCAGGCTTCCGCAGCTCCCAGCCCTTCCCTCCCAGCGCTGGTGACTCACTCCGGCCTCTGCATGCCTTTCACTTTCACCGGCACCCAGAAGGGGAGGAACTTCCTCCTCCATTTCCTTCCTCAGCTCTCAGCCCTGAAGTGAGGGAGACTCTCCCCGCTTGCACCCCCTTTTCTTCACATGTGGAAACTGGAGGAGGGAGAGCGGCTAGGAGGGCACCCGAGGCACCTTGGCCCAGCAGAGTGCTGGGGGCCACCAGAAGCACCTTTGGAACAAACCCCTTTCTCTTGCTTTAAACTGTCATTCCCTGACAATCACCCCAATTCGGAGCAGAAACCAAAGGCTCACCCCAGACTGAAAATAACCCCGGGTGCCATTTCCAAGCTGCAGGATGGGGCTGTCCTGGCTACAGGAGCCCGGCTCGGCCTCTCCAACTGGCAGGAACGAACTAGAAGTACGAGTCTGCAGAAGCAAGACAGAGGCAGGAAGAACGTGCTCAAGCCGAGGGGAGGGGGGGAGGGGAGGTGCCCAGGGAAGGCTGGAAGGTCCACGTGTCTCCCAGGAGCTGGGAGCCTCTCAGGCGCGTACACGCTTATCTCAACTGGGGCCTCTCCTCCACCAACAGTACACAGACATCACCCCGCCCCCCACCACCACAGCCCTGTCACCTAGTGAGACGCGCCAGTCTGGGGTCAGGGAGAGCCCACGTGGCAGATGGGACGTGGTGCACGTGTGCGTGTGTGCCGTTGGGAGGGCACCCAGACACCAGGCGCAGGATGGCAGGCTCTGCAGCCGGGCGGGGAGAGGTGGGAGTGGAGTCTGTGAATGGGGCTCCAGGCAGAGCTGCTCCTGCCCCACCTCCCCAGGCTGGACCACCTGCAGCTATTTGGTCAGGCCCAGAGGGGTTAAGCTCAGCCGGTTTGCCTCCCATCACTGACCCTGCACATCAGGAGGGCCAGCAGCTCAGAAGAAATCCAGGGGCCGATTCTGGGGAGGCTGAGTTCCCCCAGAAGCTTTGGCAGAGGCCTCCCTGTCTCCCCCACTGGCTGCTGGGCTAAGAGTGCTGATCACGGACACCCAGACCTAGGATCCCCTGAAAAGAAAGGTCATTATTTGGGGAATGGAGAGGAGTGTGGAAGATGCCTGGGAATCCTGGAGGCAGGAGGGGAGGAAGGCAGCAGGGCACTAAATAGCAGCAGTAGTAGTTGTTAATAATAATAATAACGATAATAATAATAATAATAATAATAATGTATTTGTACCGGGCAGGTCCTAAGTGCTTTCTTTATATGTGTTTAATTCCCACAACAGCTTTATAAAGCAGCATGAAGCCAAAGCATTATCTTCAACATTCATTTCACAGGTGAGCTAGATGAGGCGCAGAGGGACTAAGGCACTTGCCAATGATCACACATTAATTATGTTGCAGAGCCAGGACTTGAACCCTGGTGTGTCTGACTCTTAGACCAAGCTCTTGTTCCTTATCCCCAAGACATGCCACTAAGACACCAGGCTCCTCTCTGCACACCTTCCTTTCACAGCTCCCTCCCCAACATCTCAGAGCAAGGATTTCTGGACACAGATATTCCTTCTCCCTGTCCCTGGGAAGCCCCTGCCCCTGCCTGAACCTTTGGCAGGTAAACCTCTTCTATTCTCCCCCAGGCCAGCTGAGACCCGCAGTCCTACATAAAGGGAGGGAAGAGGCGGGGGCTCACCACAGAGGGGCCAGCATGGGTGTGAGGTCCACCTGCAGGCAGGTCTGTGGCTGCGAGGGCCACTTCAGGTCTGCCCTCCGACCCTCTGGGCCTGGACTCCCAGCCCCTGCAAGCCCACCCCGCCTCAGTTCTGGCTGCTGCTGGTGGGGCTTCCATCTCCTACCCCACTGGTACTTCACAGCCTGCACCTCTGGCCAGGACTGAGCCACTTCCTCCATTTCTTCTGCCCTAGCCCCACTCCTCCTCTCCCCAGGGGAAGTCAGCCTGGCCTTCCTCACAGTGAGGAAAAGGAAGGAAGCCATCTCTTCTGAAGGTTGCCGACCTGTGGGCCAACTCCCCAAAGTTGCAGGAAAGACGGTGTAATGAGGAACTCCTGCAGGCAGCTCACCCCCAGGACCAGCTGCAGGGCCTCTGACATCAGAGGCAGGAACACAGCAAAAGGAAACCCAGTCACCATGGGGCCCCAGGCACGGCAACCCACTCTCTCAATTTGACTGTCTGTCATGGCTCCATTCACTCTTCCCTTCCTGCAGGCGCCTCACTACTGCAACCAGTCCCTGGTCAGACCCACAGGTACCCCTGGGCAGAAGACGAGGTAGAGTCTGGTAATCAGAGGCTGGGGACCTGAGAGGCTTTTAGGAGGATCAATGGTGAGGAGTTTCTCTCTGCAGAAGAAAGTAATGTGCGCCGAGAAAAGAAAACAACGCTGAACCTGCATATGTGTTTTGCAGACACATGAGGGAAGGTGCTGGAAAGGCCTTGGGAGTCCTGTGCTGATGGTGACACCATGCCCGCCCAGGATGGCAACATGAACACATACCGTTCCCCTTGTGCCATCAGCAACCCTGCCGCATGCCCAGCAGTAGCTGGGAGAGTCCAGTGAGCCCTCTCCACAGGGTGATGGGACCAAGGACACGTACATGCTTGGGGCATTCAGTGTGTCCATCTGAGAGAAAAGACCGTTGTGGGTCAAGGTCACACAGGCCAGGAAGGAGGTGCCCAGCTTGGTGCCAGTGGCCAATGGCTCAGCTCTGATGTGGGGACACCCCTGACCCTTGGAGCTAATGTTCCAAGCTCCTGCTCTTACAACCGGGGCCACCCCTACCCCGCAACATACACTAGGAAGAGGGAGAGTCAGAGCTCATGCATCTCTAACCCAAGTAGGGCATCCAACAAGGCCCAAAACCTCTAAGCCAGCCAGTTCCCTGAGCACCAAAGAGGTTATCATAGGACAAAGCCCAAACTTCCTGTCCTGCCCATAAGTCCCTGCAGACGGGCTCCTGCCACCTCTCTCACCCGCCACGTTTGAGCCACCATTCAGTGCTGCTCCTGTCTCATTGTGCTGTTCCTGCTTTGTCTCCAGGTGTTTGACCAGGCAGTGCCTCTGCCTAGGACACCTTCCACCTTTGTCATCTGGCCAAGTCCTCCTCATCCTTCAGGCCTTAGCCTGCTTCCCATAGAAAATCTCCCCTCACCCCAAGGGTAAGCCAGGAATTGCACCATGAGCCCCTAACGCCTCCTCAATGCCTACCACACTCAGCACAGTACATTCCAGGTAGGTATTTCCTTGTCCCCAGTAACTTGCCAGCTGCAGAACACTTCTTGGAACTTGGCTTGTATCTGCCTCTTGGGATGCTCATTCAAGACTGCACCCAAGGTGAGTCAGAGCCATGCCTGGGCAGAGGTACTACTCACAGCCAGCGTGTCCACCCTGATTTCTAGTCTCCCCGATCAGAGTTCCCGTGATGCTGAGATAAAGTGGAAAGGCCCCACCTCCTAACCACCACCCCTTTCCATCCCACCCCATCAATGGCCCCAGGCCCTCATCAACTAAGCCAGTGGTCGGCAAACTGCGGCTCGCGAGCCACATGAGGCTCTTTG